TTGTCGTTATCGCTTTAATTAGTTGACCATTTTGGTTCATACCTTAAAACTGATTTAAATGTTTGTCCGTAATGTAAAATTGAAACTGCACTTGTGTAAGTGGGATTCATATTGTTTTTGTAATAAATGATAAATCGTTGAATATATTGTTGTCCTATTTATTGTTTATAAAAAATATTGCGGTGTATATAAAGCGTGTCGGTACAACAGTGACAATAAATGAACACACGTCTAACGCTACTTGCCAATAATCATAAAAAAAATATAAAACGTTAAAAAATCCATAATTAAAAAATATATTTTTCAAACAAAGTAATTAAATAAAAAAGAAACAAAAATTGTAACATCCTATACAACTACACTGACTGATTCATATCATACATTCAGTGACTTTTTCATTTGTTGCCGCAACGTCGCATTACAAGTCTCTCCTTCTAAGAGTATGTTTTATCTCTTTTAAATTTATTCAACCCATTCATATGCTTTGTAACCTTTACAAATGAACTTTACGTTACAGTTTTATACGTAAGCTGTTCTAAAAATTTTTGTTTTTTATAATTTATTAACTCGGTAAATATTGATTTTTAAAGAATGTAAATGCTTAATACAATTTTAAAAAGTTATCCTCTATATGTCTTCATTTATTGTCGCGGTAGTAACGACACGCTTTATGTATATGGACCATGGGTTGTTTGTTGTTATTAGCTACTGGAACAATTAGAACAGTTTTTAATTTTTTTTAAAAGATATAATATAGCTCCCAATACAAAAAATTACCTTTCATACAAAATGTGCTATCAGTGATAAAATTTTAACCATGATAACTTGAATTTTGAGTTTCATAATAAAAAAAGTTTGATTTAACAATATCTCCAATTGATTCAATTACAGTCCAGCATAGGTAAGTTACGATAAGAGGATAAGAATATAGTTCCGGTGAAAAAAAAACTAGATGGCGTTGTTAAATTCCTAAAATGCGCTATATACATATTTTTACAAGTTAATTAAGGGACAAGCGCCTACCGATTGAGATTTATCCGATAGGTACGATTTTAGTTTTGCTCGGTATACGGATGTTCTTGATTTTGCTTTGCGATTTGCTTAGTTGTTAGGAACAGTGGTGGATTTTCTATAGGCCGCGTACTTGGAAGGCCAAATGTAGTTTGGAAATTGTGGTTTGGAAATTATGTTTGTTTTTTGTCACTGACTCACAAATTGTATCTGATATTTTTTTTGTTATTAAAATACTTATGCTTATACATATAAATTATCGCAATAATTCCGCGGAACCTTAACACTATTTATGAACCTTAACACTATTTATAAAACTGGTATTGGAAAATACAAAATGAGTCACGAATGACCCCAACATTTGGAGATGTGTGTACATCTTTTTTTATATCAATGTTTTCAGCGAATCCCGTCCTCCGCGCTTCTCTATTATAACTCGAGTCACGACCGCCAATTAAAATTATTGTAGTTTATTAATCAAAATTAACATGGATAAAATTAACATTGGATAAGTAACTCATTATAAACGATGCATGTACATTATAAACTAGCTGAACAAAAATTGCCAAACTTTATCACATATCTGTGCCAGCTTCATCAATTTTATTAAAGACCACGTCTTTTTGATGTCATTAATCATTTCACTAACAATTTTCTAAGTAACAGTTTTCTGTTTTTTTTTTCTTATTTTATATTTCTAAAAATAATTGATCTATAGAAATAAACAACGGCTGATGTGTTCTCATATCAGTAATACCAATATTCTTAGAAGCATTATCATCCTTCTGCCCTTATCCCACCTGAGGTCATGTGAGGTGAATCACAATGTAAGTGGTTTCGGCTTTGTTTTTTACGCCTGCTCGCCTGCCTGACGTCAATCGTCCTTGGGAAGAAGAATATTTGGAACAATTATCTGTGGGGCAGACAAATGGATTGTGGGAATGTTGCTTAGCGACTCATCCTAGAAGTAACCTGCTGTAAGAAAGAGCTTTGCTGTTGTTTGCGGTTTCATTTTTCTCACAAAAAAAGGAATTTTCCTAAAAAAGGGGGGAAAAGAATAAAGTCTTTTTCGTGAGCGCCCGCACCAGAAACACGGATAAAACGAAAGGCTAGATCGATTTATCGCTCCCGAAAACTCCTGCATGAAAAATTTTATAAAAATTGTTGAAGACGTTTCCGAGATTGGATTATATAAGAATATATACACGAATTGATGGTTTAAATGTATTATAAAGTATATATTTGTGGTAATTAAATGTAATACAAATATACAGTACAAACTCCTACCGCTAGTATTGACCATTTACTAGACAAAGCCCTAATTTCGATCATTTTGGCCAATTGATCCTTGGATCTAGTAATATAAACAATTAGCAATAAACAATAAGCCTGGAAACTTTCCTTCCACCGTGGAGTGAGTAATTAGTATTTTCAAATGCTTAGAACTTAACAAAGAAAAAATATTACACATACTTGAATGTTAGGACAAATTGGATACAAGTTTTGTCGTTCAGTATTGAAACTTATAAATCAAAGGTTACCATTAACCAAAATACTTTGAATTAGGTAGCTTTGAATTAAGATTAAAGCGCAGATTATTAATATTTGTTAATACTTTGATTAATTCAAGCGGTTGACTTGATAGAAAATTTCATACGCGTAACGATTTAATTTTTTTGTCTGATCAATGCCCTAAATTGATGAAGAGAGTGGTGTGTTGACTAGTATCTAGGACCTACCGAATTATTTTTCAGCTTTTAGTACATTGTCTACATTATTTTAATCTTTATTTTCAATAAAACCGTTCAACTTAAAATTGTTTTTTACTCATTTTTAATGTCGCCTGCGCCAACATTCGTTGGACAAATCTTTCCTTAATATAAATTGCCTTAAGAATCTTATATTTTTGAAAGCCCGTGGGTAATTTTCTACAGTTAACAGATGCATAGGCGATCCTTTACCTTTTAACCCCATTGAAATACTATGATTTCAAATGTCATAGGTTTACGACGAATCTAAACGGACTTGTTCATTTAATGCTTTAGGATAACTATACAGCCATGACTTAAAGATTGTTAAAGTAGTTATAATAGGAATAATGTCCTTGCAAAGTCTAAACTACGTAGGAAATACGTTCTTCTTCTGTTCAGTTAATTCAGTTTTTTTTAACAAAAAGATCATTCTAATTCTAATTGAGTCAATAATTTATCTAATATAAAAATTTATAACACAAACCCATTTAACGTTTGCTTTTCTGTCAATTTTAATGTTGCTCATATCTAGGTATGTGAGTTGCGTTTGCTGAGGTGTTCTCACCTCAGCTAACGCACCCAAGAGGGACAAGAAACTGCGATTACATACTATCACGGACTAGTACAATAACTATAAATTTTATTTTACTAGTAACTGTTATTTTGTGAAATGAACAGACTACCCCGTCTGTCCCGTGACCATGAACGCTGGAAAGGGTTCGAAATTAATTTAAAAATCTAATTAAACGCGATAAAATCCGTTAATTAGTATCTTTTCACAATTTATAATATTCGCGTAAAATCAAGAAATCAAATGTTATTTTGCTAGTCCGTGCTTACAATATACGATTGTATTGTGACCAGTCGTTGGCTTAGGCGCGGCCGGATAGGTACAAATCTCTAAACTACAGAAGTAGAAACCACTGCACAACCGATGTGAATTGAATTCGCGGCAACCCGCAGCTTTCTACGGCTTTCAAATCGCCTTTGAATATATAACGAATTGTGGACTATTTACGCAAGATAAAGCTTCTGACATAGTGGAAATTAGAAAATCTATTCATAATCCAAAAATTAGTGTACATATTTCTTATTTTAAACTGAACAATGCCGCCCCAAGTAAATATCTTCAATAGCTTTAAGTGGCACCATAATACCATAGGTTTTAAAAAATTAAAAAATTGTTGGCAATTATTTAAGACCACATAGAGACTATATTTATTAAAGTGGTTGGCGAATCCAAACATACTAGTAACAAACAGGTAATGTAAAATGTACCCAAAAAATAAATTAAATATCATCAGTGTTCCTATAAAATTTTAAAGCTCTGAGGATAAATAAACATTTTTAGATAAAATACATATCCAATACCAACAATAATTGTATATTTTATAATTTTTTATGTTTTAAAATTGCGAGAATGCATATTTTTTCGATGTTTATTTCATTGTATAAACATTGCGTATGTAGAAAGATTTTACTCTTTTATTTATAAAACAGCTATATTTTTTCTATACAGGTAATTATGTCAAGTTTGCAATAACAAATTATTATTCAGGCAGAGCACAACAATTAGTGATATTATTATATTGTTTATCGTTCTCGTAAAATAACAACTGTTAGCTGTGCAAGATTTTAACCCTACTCAGATGAAAAACATTATTAAATTCTTTTAATTTTTTAATGTTTACGAATTAAAAAAAAATTCGTTGTTTTATTCATAATTTAAAAATGGATAATAAATTGTATAAATTTTCAACCGACTTTATTGTATGTTTATTTTTTATGCTTGTCAGAACTCCGTCATTTAACGGTTCGGTTTTGGGACCCCTTATTAATTTTATTAGTATTGGGTCCTTGCAGATACATCAGGAAACTCCTTAAAATCCGAAAGAAAACCTATAATGAGTGAGATATTTGAAGTCAGTTTTATTTTTTGTTACTAAAAATGTTTTCACTTCTTTGCGATTATGACAAGCTCTAAAAACCTTTAATCTCGTCGAACCTATCAAGTCTGAAGCAAAGTTACATATAGATAGTGCTGTGAATTTGTGATAGTGGAAAGCTGCATCCCACAGGTTGCAGTACCGTTCTAGGGCGGTGCAAGTCCCGATGTTTTTAATCCGGTTTTCTGCCGCGGCGCATCACTCCGTAGCCTGCCGTCGACGTCCGCGCACTGCTCATTAATAGGTCCACGAAATTTATCATATTAGAATAAAAGATATTATTTATTTCGCTATGTACAAATCATTGATTTTGAGCTGTGTTCTGTGCTTGGTGATTGTTGGTGAGTTTTTGCTGTACTGACATTAAAAATGTATCCCGCGTAATTTACATAATTTACATATTTTTAAAAAAAACAAAATATAATATTAATCAAAAATGTAATTTTTGTTACGAGTGAATGAAACGCTTTGATGATGATTGGCGATGCAAATGCCAAAGCAATTTTAAATATATTTTGGACATAACGAACCATGATATGGATATTTACGTAACATATAATTATAGTCTATTTTCAAGTAACGTTTTACATTATATAAATGAATATTAATAAATAAAACGAAAAAAGTTATTTGAATATTTTTATCTAAATTATAAAAAAAATTGAAAGATTTTTCTTGATTCAATTCAATATTGCTAAATTAATAAAGAATCTTTGACATTTCCAAACGAATTCGGTTTAAACATTCGAGCAAATATTTGTTAAATTAATTGCATTCTGACTGATTAAATTAATAGGTATGGTGTGAACTGTGCAAACCCATCGTGCTGGAATATTACTTTTAACTTGTGGTGAAACTAGCTTGAATACGGTTATTATTTGCGGACCATTACCACCACCCATTAGACTTGCCAATGCTAATACACACTCAATTATTTCAGTTACTGCACAGCATCTTGTCTTAGTCATTTTGTTGTGCAGTGTATAATGACCAATCTAAAATCTTTACACTCAGAGACCTTTTTAAAGAGATTAATATATCACTGTTGCGTCTCAATATATTTATTGTAATATTTTATATGTTAATATTAATAGTTATCTAAAGAAAGGACAAATAAAGATTAAGGACAAACTAAAGCCGTGTTTCATCTACAAAAAGATTTTTGTATAATAAAATCCCACTATATTATTATACTCGAAATCAAATCGAACCTCATCTCTAAACAACTTCTCTTATAATTTTTAATAAAAATAAAAATTTAAAGCTTAATCCCGTTCTATATTGAAGCTTTTAGTATTAGAACTTTTGAATGAGAGAAAACACTTTTCAGGATTTTAAGATCAAAAAGTGTTTTATCGCTAATGTTTTTTTTTAACTTACTTTATAATTAATTAATTAATTGATAAAACTACAATCCTTATTAAACCCGTTGTAGAAGCTTTTAGTATTGTAATAGTTGAAAAATTGTAGTAGGATGACAACGATCATGATAGGCTGCAGTCGAAATTAATTATATGAGCAAAAATTTAAAAAATCAAAACATTTCTATAACCTAGTCAAAACATTCTTTTAGCATTTATTTTATCAGATTAAACCCGAAATGTTTTATGGAATTTATTCAATTAAACTGCTTAAGTAGTGAGAGACTACGAATTCTTTACAAAAATTATATATAATTAATTGTACCAAAAATATATACATTATGTTGTGTTAACTTAGCAGCAATAATTTATCGGCGTGACTAATTAGGCAACACTTATAAATATATACGTAGGTATATAACTTAATGAAACAAGGAGATCCGACTGAATACATAACTTAAAGATTAAAGACAAACGGGGATGGCACGTTTATTATTACAGAAATATACTCATTTATAATTTCGAGTCACGGATCCAATGAGGCAAGTCGTGAGCTCAGTGATTGTGAGATCACGGCACTTAGTTTTTTCTTAATAAAGTATATGTTATATTATTAATTAAAGCCTATTCAGCTCGCTCATGGCAAAAAGTGTGAATTGGAGATTAGATTTTCGTTTTATTATTAATCTGTTCTCAATCGCAAACGATGTGTAAAATTGCGTTATTGTTCGGTAAGGCGTGCGGCAATTGTAAGCATATAAGCTTTTATGTGTTAAAGCGCATACTTTGAATTCAGTAAATTTTTTTGGAGGCTAAATGCTGAATTGAAAATATAATTGGAGGTTATCGACTTCGTTACTTCTTATCAATTGCTCTTGCAAAATTTGAAGTTTTTAGGAAGAATAATAAAAGATATTTGTAAAATAGCACAACTTATTCACGAGCTTGCCAGAATTGCATCTTTCTTTTAAGTCTAACATTAAGAAGTTTGTCTTAAAAATGATATTAAGAAGTTCCATTGTCGAACAACCAAGCGTTCGGCGGGGCTCCACCCTTATGCTGTCGACGTTCCCCGAACAGTAAGAACAAAGCGATTCGCTTCTTCATTTATCATCCGTACAGCTAAGGAATGGAATAACCTGCCGGCGTCCGTCTCTCCGTCCGAATACTGAGCTAGTGCATTGGTTTCTACTGAGCTAGTGCTCTTACCAACAACGGCTGCATCGCAACTTACCATCAGGTGGCAGGCAAGTGCTATCCAGTTTTGAATTTTTAAAAAAAAGTTTTCTTCTTTTATATAAACAATATTTGAATGAACTGGAGAGCCTTCAGAAATAACGGGTTAAAAAGTATATGCTTAAAATGACCCCTATTTTCGTACTTATTTCCTACTGGCTGTCGTTTCCTCTAAACATAAAAAAAATAATTGGATCCACAAAAAGCCGCTATAGCATCATCGAAAAACCGCGAAGTGATATCATCCGTATTCTAAGAAAGGTCCAAACGAAAAAGAGGCATGAACCAGTGCCTATAGTCCTCTCGATATAAAAAAGGTAATTGGCCCGAGACGGCGTGATAAATTCAGCAGGTGAAATGATATCAACCGAATCCCGTATCCAATGCCGCCAAAGCTCGTCGTGAAAGTGGAACCGTGTTGCATTACGCAGCAATGGGAATCGACGACTGCGTCAGATGTTCACAGCGGTCGGATTGTAATTGGAATTTTATAATAATGCAAAAACAAACACGATCAACCCGTTCCGAGGCGGGTTTACACACCACTGGACAGGACAATGACTCGCCCATTACGGCCGATGGCTAAGGACCTGCATAAAGTCGGTGCGTTAATAGCCTATTGGATCTAATACTTTCCTAGATCATTAAATAGTTAACAATTTCAAGAATAAAACGCCATTAAAGAGCCATTAAAACATAAAATTAAATATGTCTTATTTAAATCGTATTTAAACTCCATCTTTTCCCATTTTACGCTTTTAGCAAACCTATCGCTATGCCCAATGAATACAGTTCTTAAATTCAAATGCGAATTTAAAAATTTGTCGAAAAAAAATTTCACTGCCTCTAATTAACTTGAACATTTGATTAATCTTGCAGAGCAGCACTAAAAATATAATTAAATAAATAAAAAAATCAAATATAATTTTTCACACATTACATACATATTCATTACATATCACACGTTACATACCATAAACATCGCTTCATTCATAACTCTTAAAACCAAAAACGATCTATATATTTTTTGATCTATTTATTTCATTACAAGAATTAATTAAAATATTACAAAGTATAACCGTAATCTTCATGACTGTAGTTACGCGATATGTTTACACTACAGATAAGAAGGAATCTAGAATTATTTAGCTTTTAACCCAACGACCTGCTTCTCTGTAAATCTTTTAATGAGGCTTGTGGAAATTTCCATATTTTCAAATCGAAATGAAAATAAAATTGTAAACATGTTTAAAAATATTTAATAAAAAAAATATTGAACAAACTTACGCCGTGGTGCCAAGCTAATTGCATTTTCTCCGCTAGATTAATGGTCATAAGTACTTAATATTTGAGCAAGAAAAGAATCAGTGTCTCATACACAGAAAATAGGACGAGTTCCTAAACATTTTCGCACATTCGTCGCTCATCGAATGATCGTTTTCGAAGAAAGTTCTAATGATGATGATGATAAAAATATTTATAGGTAGGTACCAAAAGGTATCATAGACAAATACATTACACCGTTACGACGTTAATGGACTTACGACTACATTAATTTAAACATAAAAAAGGAGAATATGCTACGAGAACTGTCATTAAAGTCCGTTGAACCCCACGCTTTGTAAGTTCTGACGTTGATGCGTTCACAAATTACTTCACAATTTTTCTTATAGGTTAATAGGTGGCCGTTACTAAGATACAGTGTGATAGAATTTAGGTCGACAAGTGTACCACAGCGTAAAAGCCGATCAACGAGAAATGTATAGGTATACAAAATAAGTATAAAAATATACACTCACCGTATTTTGAATCATGAACACCGCGATTGTAAGGTAAATTTAGCGTAGCGTAAGAATAGATCGGTTACAGTTAGCTATTCGACAAGCAAAAACTCTTGTATCGCACGAGATGAATCCAATCGATATAAGGTAATTGTAGACTCTATATATACTCTATTAATAGATGCCAAGTGTTAAATGCTAGTATAACAGTTTTACGATTTTTCCCAATTATTAGTAAATATAGCATAATATTAGCTTTTTACTTTAATCAGCAGATCGTTAAGTACGCTGAGTAAATCTACGGAAAGAAGAACGACAAAACATGCATCGATTCATACAAATCTACACTGAAATATTTCGAGTCCGATTTATACTAGGACGGAGGGATAAGCCTGTAGCAATGAAAAAAGGGGAAATTTAATTTTAAAAAATATATATTGTTTTTAACGTTGTTCGTACTTTCTGGCTCAATGCTTCCAATGGATGAAGTATCCAGAGCTTCTCTAACTTTTCGACTCTTCTATAAAATTAGATGTTGGTTTCGTGCGTGATATGATCTCATCGTTTGAGCTATATCTTTTCCAACCGAGTCGTTAAAAAAAATAGTTGCAATTGACTAAAACTTGCGAATATGGTATGTGAGAGAGCAACTCACACTTGTGGTATTTGGTAAACTGAAGCCATCACTTTAGATTTCGATAAAACTGGACTTTGGTTAGTTTATACTGGCCGATAAAACTAATTTGGCCTTCTTTGGAGCTGGTTTGCCCGTAGCAATCCACTGGTGCCGCTTGTTACTTGGTTTCTAGTGTATGAGGGATCCGCGTTTCGTCTACTATTATAAAACGACGCAGTTTCATTCCGTTGAAACAACGTCAAAGCTGCCACCGAATAGTCATACGCAAGCGCTTTTGTTGAACAGACAGTAAACATTGCACTTCGTAGAGCTTCTCCATATCTAAATGTGAAGACATTCCGCACACGTATGTCTGAGATGCCAACTATCTCACTATCTCGCTTACTTTTACTCTTCGGTCGATCAACAGTAGGTATGTCATGGATTTTAGCTAGCATCTCAGTAGTGACCTCAAATGGCCGTCTTGGACGTTTAGCCTCACTTGTGCTTGTACGACCGCACAGAAAAACAGTAAAACGCTTAAGAATCATTGTAATCGACGGAGCAGTGTCCCCATATATTTTTCGCAAAATAAACAAACGATCTTCGCTTTTCCCCAACTCTGCGAAAATGCGTTTAATTATTTTTCTTTAAGGGCTGTTAGCCATAAACCCTCGGTACTGGCTGAAAACATTCGATTTATCAGTCTGCCCTCGCACATATCCCATTTATCACATTTATCGTTTGCATTATTCTTCGAAACGAGTTCGGAGCGGATCTATTTCAAACATTTCCAAATCAATGAAACGATGAAACGTTGTTAACGTGTGGCACATGAGCCACGTCCCGCGGCAAAAAAAATTAAGAAATTAAGTAGTTCACCTGTCCTGAAACATCACCGTGGTTATTTAAGATCAACAATATCCGTAACGATTAGTCAAAAACTGATTTAATTAATTTATCATAAAATCAAATTGACCGAAGATTTTTTTATCGTATTCACCCAACCACCTCGCATAAACATCACTTTAGTAATAATATTAATATTTTAATCAACCTATGTATAATAATATTATTTTATTTAAAAAATGCGGGCGAAGTCAATAAAATTAAAATTATCATCCTAAATTACCCCCCCTATGCAATTTGGTGAATAAATGAGCTTTGGAAAACATTTAAATTTACGTTTAAATTTTACAAGCTTCACTGGCATTACTCAATAAATCAGTCATGTCTTGTCTGTTTTAAACTTAATACCAACAGTAGACGTGTAAATTGCCTGTATACGCAGTACAGTTAGACAAATCTCGTGCTGCTATGCTGCGAAGCTGATGTACCGTTAGAGACAAATTCAATTTTAGTTTCGTAAAAAGAGTTGATTCCGAAAAAGCGCGGTCTAAACCCCACTGCGCCAGTACAACACGTCTTATTATTTTTTTAGGATTTATGAATTGTGTTTTGATTTGTATCCTTACAGAATATTTAACACCACGGCATAACTATGCAGTTGCTAAATAAAATCACTCGGTATGATTGCTCTGTCCGAAAAAAATTAAATTATTCAATATTAATTATCTAAGTAGTCTATCCCACCCGACACTACACGCAACGTAGTGATAATGGACAACAACGTACTTTGTCCTCCCAACAAGCAAAAGTTCCCACCGCTCCCAGCCACCGATTAATACAGTCCACAGTCGTCAATGTCACATCAATGTCGTCAATGTCCGCATACCCTACTTGGCCGACCCATAACCGACAACTCCATAGAATAACCACTGCAAGCACACCCACATACGCGTCTATCAATTTAGGATCCATTTATCTCGTGAAATCTCAATTTGACACGAATCCGGTATTGTATGAAACTTTATATAGTCTCCAGGGTGAAAGCGTAAGTTTAAATGAACTTACGCTATTACATCGGGACTACATTTAAACATTCATATAATTTCGCATATCTATTTAACACAAAGCCATGAAATATTAACATTACTTATTAATTGGATAAACGTTTTTAAAGATTTTCAGTGATTTCAGTTGTAAGATAACCTAATCACAAAAAAATATTGTTTTACATAGTTTAAATAGAATATATTTTTATCCGTAGCTAGCTAGTGCATTTGCATAGGGCCTGAATTAAGCAATTTTCTTCGTACCCATTCAATATCCTGAACATTATTTAGGGGTTAGGTACTTATTTTTATGATCAAATTTATTGTAATGATCAATATTATTTTACGCACCTAGCTATTCCGTTAAGCTTGCATTCTCTAAGTACCTTATAACTTAACCATTTGCGAATATAATTTGCGTTAACAATTGTACAAGTTATTCAGGAAGAGACAGAAAGTTGAATGACCCTCGCTAACAGGGAAAACTGGCTGAACGATATAATAGATGTCCATTATCTGTTAGCAAATTTACTATGCACGATGAGTCCAGTGCTGGTGCATCGTAGTTGTGAGACGAATAGCCGACTGCTTGGCCGATTTTAAGACCATTCTGTAAGGACAAATTAATTTCTTATTGCAAAGAAATTTTTCTACTATCGGCCAGGCTCAATAAGATCTAAACAAAATGAAAATATCGTCTTTATAATATTTAATAATTGATTCCACTTGCAATGCGGATTTAAATCGAGAGGACACATTACTCACCATTTGATCAACGCCCTGTTCAAATACAATAGAGCTAAGGTATACATACGGACGCTTATTGTTTGTCCAATCATAAATCTGACGATTAAATAAATAGTCTCCGTCTTAAACTATACTTTTAGCAAAGCTTGTTTAACTTTAGATAAGCTAAAGTTAAGCTAGCGTTACTATTATCTACGAATAATCAGTGTCCGTTATATTTAAAAAAATAAATAATTCAACTTTTACGCTTATGTCGATATTATCGTCTATTTCTATCCTTCACAATCATTTTGGTATTGGGTAAATCTCACACGGCATTACTTAATTCAAATTATTCTATCTGATATGATATTAAAAACCTGTAAAATATATTATAGACTCCTTCTTAATTAACACTAAAACCTATGGATATGTATTTGACACATAAAGAGTCCGAATGGTAACTTGTAAATGATTACTAAAAATATAGTTTTTTTCTTGTTTGCAATTCCAGTTTCCAATAGTTTAGTACAGTAATTTTGAATTACGCAAATATTTACAAAGTTTGCTTCTCACAAGACATAATCACCCAAAGATATTTATTTCGAAGTAACACAAACTTAACATTGAGCACATATGCAAATTTAGCCAAAAAATAACCTTTAAAATAATAACTGGTTTCTCTAATGTGATAAATTCGTGATAAACGTCCGGTACTTTATGCACAATCAATCATTTTTGATCGATCAATTACACGCACTTCAGCAACTTGCTGATACAAGCTATGGCTTTTTTTGTTAATGGAACACAACAGATTTAAGGTTATCCAGATTGCGTAACTTTATTATTTTAATTAATAAATAATAAACATATCGACAGCCGAAGTACCAGATGGCAAAGCCTTAAAAAACTTAATATAGTTAGTAAAAACAAATAAAAGTTAGAAAAAAAATCAATAGGTTCCTAAGTAAACGGGATAAATTTTGCTCACAACCTTTTGTCTCATATCGGTTATTATTTTTGAAATCATATCAAGAGTCGAATCGAGAGTTCTCCCTCGTTGTTTGTTTTAGTTTCAAGATGACTTAAATAACAACGCACTTTAAATTACAGAGGCGCGTCCAAAATGGCAGATACTGCCTCCAGTGCCAGGTTACGTGCCGGTATACATTAGAGCTGGGGACACGCCACTGGAGGAAATCAACCCAGACCTCGCGGAAGCCTTCCACGCAATGCCGGTGGGGCGAAGCGCTGGGAAGCTTCTAGAAGCCTCACCTGAAATACCGGAACAAGCCGACCAGCCGCAGCCTGAGGTTGTTGTCCAACCGGCGGAATCGAGCGTAGACCGTCGCCCATACGAAAAGAAGTTGCTGGACAAGAAGAAGAAAGCGACGGAAATTTCGAAACCAGTTGAACGCAGATAGACGTCAATAAATCGATCTGTACTTAAATTAAACATTGGCAACATAAGTAAATAAATATTTAATTTTTATTTAAACAGTTATTTACGATCGTCACCACTTCTCTTGCGAACAAAGTAAACTGTGTTATAGTCGAATATGTGAGTAGCAATAACTAAGCTTATAAATATTAGCACACATAACAAAGTAAAAAAATATTATGCACGAGATAAAATTCATAACTGTTCCGCAATATAAAAATAACAACAGACGCTTCAAACGTATTAGTTTCCCGATGCATTTTGACACTTATTAAAAATTCACTTTTTATTGTATGGTGTACCTATGATGTTTATATAAGACTAAACATGTATATGAATACTTAGTTCTATGGCTACCTTAAATTTTATGAATAATAAAATTATTTATAAATTCAATATGCTCAATTATTAACGCTTGTTTTATATTAATTCAAATATTATTTATTTTTGGCGTAATGTGTTAATATTTCGTCGTATACAACACTTGATTGTATTTGAGCCGTATTTTAAATAAATAAAAACAAATGACATATCCACTGTTTATTACTTTGTTTAATCATATATTTACATTTAACACAGGTTATTCGTAACAGATGAAGCTTCTTGTATCTTGTATTAACTGATGTTTTTGCTTTCAGTCCCGACACTATTAAAGCTTCATCTGACGGAGAACCGGTGGGCTAGCCAGAACCCACTGGTTTGGACCCTCCGCTGTGGGTAGGGCCGCGCATGTGATAGTTTTATATGAGTTTCAATAAACATGTACAATCTTTATTGATCTAATATTTACAAGATTAAATCTATCTAAAATTACATATTATCTAATAAACCTAATCCACGCGGCATGGTGCCAAGAACGCTAGCAGCATTTCCTCGCTGAATAGTTATGCTTAACCTTTGAGCGAGAAAAGAACCAGCTCTCTTGTCATCAGCCGCGGCGTTAAGCCTAGGGCATAAGCTTTTAAAAATTTTAATGTGCGAGGACCCCACGGACCTAAAGTTTCAACAGCAAATGGCACAAATACATAATCTAAACATAAAGACTCATATTTGTGCCATTTACTTACTTCATCTGCCTCCGATGCCGCCCCGACCCTTACCGAACCTTAGATGAGAGGCAGCCAAAGTGTCTACACAAGTGGCGTCCCAAACTAGGGCTTTGCCTCTCTCCCAAGGGATCAATGTTAAACTGTCGGGTCTCTTACCATCGCCGCGAAAAATGCCACAGGACTCTAAAATAGATGGAACATTGATGGAAACAAGAGCCCTACGGATGACGTCGTTCAGGGAACCGTGGCGGGAAAAACGGCCAGCACTTTTTTGACAAGAAAGCCCGTGGAGACCATTTCAATTGTTTTATATCAAATACAAATAAATACATAAAACAAGAAAATGTAAATTAATAGACAGAAAAAAGAAAGCTGAATTCTGGAGTATCGATTACTGCCTACAGTGTCTTCGACATTCGTATCTGGACTTTGTTTGAAGATGCAACCGTCTTTCTCTTCCCCGTATTAAATTTATTTGCTAACTTTGTTTTCTAAGCTACACAAATTAAAATATTAGGAAAATAATTGAATTATACTAATAAATCAAAGATATATTGCATTATGTAGATGCTGTGAGATCACTTGTATTAACTTTAGTCTTCATAATTGGTATGTACACCTTTTAAAACTAATTAAAAAAGAATGTAAAATTTTTGACACCGCGTCTTACTCAACGGCCAACATGAATTAAAGACAAGACTCATCATCCCCATTCACACAGAAATCCCCATTGGGACACTTTGGGCGCGAATTATCATTGAAATTAATAAATCAGAATTTTTTTTAAAAAATAAGCAAATTCATGTGGTATATTTCAAATCATTTACACATAGATCGTACGATACATCCTTTCATTTAGATCTCCGTAGCGCCGGGCGCGTAGTCTTGTTAAACTTCGAATATGTGACATTGATATTACTGAGGTTAAAAAACAATTAGAACATTTTTTGGTTCTGATATTTTAATTTTTGTCTATTTAAGTTTTCAAAAATATAACTAATTTTTTTCCTTAATCATTTTTAACAAGACATTAACATTAAAAATGTTATTAGTACAAAAAATGGAAGTATTTACACTAAAAACACTGTATAGAAGACAACAAGTTCACTATAAAAAAACTTTAAAAGGAATATTATTTGTTTAGAATTAAAGTTGCATAAATCTTAATTGTACCCAAATTCCTCCTCGCAGTCTGTTGGAACACTACCACATTTACAACTACAGTACAAAAATCACTTATTCGCAGAAACAAAACTTATGATCTTCGCATTGTCAACATCACATTTATTTCCCAGATAATTGTTCTTAAATTAGTAATAACTTCCTTCAGTTGTTTATTTTTTAGCACCACCTGAAATAATCAGCATATATTTCATCATTTTTATGTTAAACTATACATAAAACCTATGAAAACAACCAATTAAAATATAAAAATTGAAACCATTAAGTAATATAAAAAGGAACAAACTTAAACATAACAATTTTAATCAAAGGAATGTTGCCAAATATTTTTGGTACATATTTTATGTAATGGAAATGAATTTTATTTATGCAGGTGGCTCAGCAGGAGTGTGTGCTTTGTGGCAGTCTGTGGGGGAGGACTATGTTTTTTTGCATGTGAGAATAGCGGTTAACCTAATGTTAAGTGATAACCGCCACCCATGGACGTTATCATGACAACAGCCGTAGGGGCCGCGGCGGTGAGTGAGGCTCACCAGACGAAACGCACATATAATGAAAGATCGACGTTACGTACTCTTTAAATGAACACACATTAAAAATCGCATTTTACTTAAGATACTTTTAGAACAGCCTTTCGCACGTCGTCCGTCATCCAAGGAGATAGTAGCTTTAACAAATTGGCTTTAAGAACCGGAGCACATAATACAAACTGTGAACTATATTATTAATGATAGACTTCTCTTCCCATCAGACATCATCAGCCATGGAAGCCATTGCCCAGATAGAAAAGTATTATATTAGGCGCTTTTTTAGGAACCTCATGCTTAATTTTCGGAAGTTGCGGTAATATACATAAACAGGAATATTATTAAGCATGTATGAAGCATAAATTAAATCACGAACATAGAATTCTGGGGCAGAAAGTTACTGTTAGTTTCAAGAGATATATAGATATAAAATCTATAAGAGAATCTCATTACTGTAGAAATAAGTTTTTAAAGGTAAAGTGGTGAGATCTACATGCTTTTGCATGTGAGATTTTTCAGCAACTCAGTGTTTAGATCACCCATGATTATGCAGTATTTTTTCCCACATATAACGTTTTCTAGATTCATTTCAAAATTGGCGAATTAATCAGGAGAACAATACCTACCCCGAGAATCATATGTATACCTTTGAAATCTAAAGGCCCATTTACACGATGCCATTTTCTTGTACATACAAGAGCAATAATTGAATGCAATAAGTTGCACGCAATAATTGACCATCAAGAATTGTAAGCAACAGTTTACACGCAGTATAGTAAAAAAAATTTAATGCGATTATTGTATGTAAGTCTTGACAGGAAATAATTGCAAAGGTGTTTTGTTTACACAGTTGCTTCAAGTATTGCACGTATTTGCGTTGACAAATTTTTCATGCAATTGTTGAACGTTTTACAAAGGGCTGTTTTTTTTAAAAAATGGCTAAATAATAAGTATTCAAGTTAGATTATGCCGATTAAATATATTTCATTGAGATTTATTTATTATGATCCATATATTAATATTCATATTTTTATCCAACTTTTTTTACAACCTTTTCTCAATATTTCTATCCTCAAAAGAACAGCAATGATTAAATACCCTCACTCATTGCACAAATTTTTGCCAAGGAAGAGAGAATGCAATTGAATACAAGAATTGCTTAAGAAATTATTGTGTGTGCTGTTTACACCAAGGAAAGTTTTGAAAGAAAACTTGAAGCAAGTCATGTTCAACAGGCAAGAATGTTATGTGCTGTTTAGACCATGCAACTCATTTATTGCTTCAATTTAATTGTATACTACAGGCAAGAAACTTGCACCAAGTAAATGGGCCTTAATTCTAGGAACAATTCTGCTGAAGAGGTATAAAAAACAGAGGATGCCATGGCAATTTTGTACGCTACTGATTTGTGAAGATGAATGGCAACCCCTTCTCACCCTCTACCAATAAAATCGGTTAGTGGAAATAACGCAGAATTTAGAGACAATTTCTGGTTGCTTTCAGAGATTAAAGTTGCATGTATTTTTACGGATCAAAATGAAGCTTCAGATTCAGGTAAGTGGTAATTTCATTACCTGTTCTGTTAACTCCCTATTTTCTTCTAATGCCAATCTATATGATTCCGTGTTGCGTCTCTCATCTAGTGTTTTGTTATCCGCTTCATCCTTAAGAGGTATGAGACTTTCCATGTGGGTGTACTCCATACCCTGAAAATAAAATGTCCATTGTCTACATAAAGAGCAATACACACAGTAAACATCACACTTTCCATTTCATATACTGCATGTCGTTACAACCGCGACAATAAATGAACACACGTCTAACGCTACTTGCCAATAATCATAAAAAATACAAAATGAAAAAAAATCCATAATTAAAAAAAAATATTTTAAAACAAATTGCTTAAATAAAAAAGAAACAAAATTTACAACTGGCTGATTCATTTTGTTGCCACAGCGTCGCGTTACAAGTCTCTCGTTCTAACAGTATGTTTTATTTCTTCTAAATTCATTCAACCCATTCATATGCTTTGTGACCTTTACAAATGAACTTTACGTTACAGTTTTATACGTAAGGCTGTTCTAAAATTCTTTGTTTTTGAAAATTTAATAACTCTGTAAATATTGATGTTTAAAGAATGTAAATGTTTAATACAATTTTAAAAAGTTATCCTTTATAAGTATGTTCATTTAGTGTCGCGGTTGTAACGACACGCTGTATATTGATTTTAATGTGATTACTCAACTATTTTCCTTTTGTTCCTTTTTTTAATTAAGTGACAGTGAAAAAATGATTTTAAGCACTGAAACTTTAACAAGTGCGTTGTACCTGACAAGTCTCATTACACTTTTCGTAGATCAAACGAAGCCTTTTGAACAGTAACCGAATTGTTCGCAATTGCTCTTGCATCTTCGCCTTCTTGTCGTTGCTTGCATTCTCGCCATGTTGAGTACCGTTTGGAGGCTGTATCGCTTTCAATGTCTGGAAGACATCTTGAGTCCTACTTACTATGTCTTGTACCGTTTCTTGGCCAAATCTAAATAATAAAAAAAACTGTATTACGCAAAGCCCACCACAGGATCTAAATATAACAATATTTTAGCATAATTTTAAGTATGATAAGAAATATTGTAATTTAACATAATAAGCCTAATGAAATATAAAAATAAAATAAGAAAAGGTTCCCAAACACGGATTTGGAACAATTATCTGTAGGTTATACATTTACAAGTCCCCTATGGGAATCGCACCCACGACTTTCGGCATTGCAGTCATTAGTAAAGCAACTGTGCCACTGAGTTGTCATTTCTGTCAATCGTATATAAATAACTAGCGAACCGCCCCGGCTTCGAATGGGTGCAATATATTATAGACATAAACCTTCCACTTTAATCACTCTATCTAGTAAACAAAAACGCATCAAGATCTGTTGCTTAATTTTAAAGATCTATACATACATAGGGGCAGACAGACAGTGGGATGACTTTATTTTATACTATGTAGTGATAGTTCACTAGTGGTAATTGTGGTAGGGCCATACAACAGTGTTCACTGTTGCACGAATGGGCAGGTCTGACCGGGTAAAACTAGCGTGAAGTAGAAGTGTTAAACTTCTCAATTTTTTCAGTTTTTTCAGTTTCGTCTGGTGAGTGAGGTAGCCGGGCCAACTTATTAAAAGGTGGAAACGCATCTGCAACCCTATGGGTGTTGCAAATGTTCATAGGCGGCAGAATTGTATTGTTATGATGTCACTTAAGATTACGGTGAACCGTCTGCTTGTTTGCCACTTTCTCACATTAAAAAAAATTACAAACGCAATTGAACATACTTGCATAGCGATGCAGTGTTGAACTCCTTACTTTGAGGCGCGGGTGCGGGTTGGGGAACCGCCGCCGGTGCAGCCACTGGGCCTGATTGCATTCCTGAAATGTATAATACGAATTAAACTAGCAATGCACACGAATGATATGGAGTGGTAAAATTTGTTTCATTATTGAAAAAAATCTTGAATAAAATGGTTATATGTTTTTAAACCAAAGTATATTTTACTACAAGTAAGACCGATTTCAATATTTAATAATAATGTAGACAGAAAAGTTTAAAAAGTAGGACAAAAAGAAATATTTGGCAGTTACCTCATTAACATATAAGAACAAAACCATATCATTACAATTGAGGAGCATCGGAACAAAAACCGATAAATCATATTTTAACAGTTTTATGTTAAGTATGGCAATCGGCAGTTTACGTACATATCTGTAGCCATCTTGTATCAAATCTATTTATAAAAGACTATAAAAGCCTTTAAAAAGTGTCTCAAAACACTAACCTGAAAATAAACCGATAAATCCGGTAGTAGGGCGACACAGCCGCCTCGACTGTAGCACAAATGGACTGGCTCATCCAGGTAAGTACCACGACCTCACAGAAGACCGGCGTGAAGGGGAAGTATAACACTCGCGTCTTGTCTGGTGAGTCAGGTAGCCAGAGCCCATACACCAACAAATCATTAGAAATTTTCATGGGTTGATTGATTGAAAACCAACAAATCCATATCCAAAGATTTATAAGACATAGGGGAAGTTTTATTACCGGGTCAAGATTGGAGTTTAAAGAATGTCAGAAATCCTAGAAACATTTTATAAAAAACATGTAAAAAGAATGTAATATGTGATATATCAGTTTTTGTTCCGACGCTCCTCAATTTACATTATAATAAATTTTGGTTGTCTATGTATATTATTTCAAGTTGTTCAAATAACCTATATCTATAAATATCTGTGACATAAAGAATTTAACTAAACTTAAGAAGTAATGCAAATCTTAATTTATTTTTTTCAAAACAGTTCCACTGGAATACTCAAAATTATAACATAATACTTATACACAAATAACAACTTACTAATATATAAATGTACCATGGTAGATAGAACTCCTTCATGATAACCATACTATAAGAGCAAGATAGTTTCATTGTCAGATATAACAACCAATGCTTGATTTTTTCATGCAAAAATTGGGCCATATCGAGATGCCTAAAAAACCTTGTAATTTTTTCACAGTTTGGTTGAGGCATTTTTTGAGATATTATATACTCTAATTATATATTATGAGATATCATGTGGTTAGCCATTCAGAGAACGCGGCCTATCATGTGAAATTGCCTGATTGGCAATCAACATGTTAAGTTAAAGCAAACCCTTATACAAAATAGTGTAGCTGCTTCACATTTTTTTTAATAAACACTAACCCTGCTGTTGCACCACTTGGGGACCCATTCCTGAACCTGGCCCAGCTCCAACTCCTACACCCATTCCCTGTAAACAACAAACACAAAAATATGATATTTTATTAATGTTATATAGTTTATTTGAACAACTTGAAATATTACAAACACATATTTTATGTCAACATATTAAATTCTATATCTAGTCTAGTTTAATATATAAAAAGAACAACTACAGTACTGGTATTAATACTCAATAATTTGTTTAGGTACTAACTTGCGGTCCCATTGACATATTACCCATTTGATTTTGCATTGCTGCTCCATATGGTGGCACCATCTGATTCCCCATTCCAACCATACCTGCATTACCCATAGCTCCAGCCATAACCCCTGGAAATTACAACATGTATTTCAACAATTTGTCTATTAGTGTTAGCTTAAGTTATTGTTATTAATTGTTAAGTGTGTATGTGTTTCCAATTGAAGAAATAGTAGCAAAGTAGTAACAGTCTACCTGTCAGTTGATTTGGCATTTGCGGCATTTGACCACTCATTGGCCCCGCACCATACCCAGTCCGCATAGCACCAGGGTTGCCCTGAAAATTTCCTGGAAACTGGTGTCCTTGTCCAGCCATGTTGATGAGATTTTTTTAAAATTTGCCTGTAACAGAGTCGCTATTTAAAAAGTTTCCAATTGAATCTTAATTTCTAAGTTATTTTACAACCAAACTTGGTTAACCACATACCTATTTATGTTAGAATTTATCCTTTTAATAAACAAAGTGACATTGGCCGATACATTATTCAACCAAATGTGGTGAAGACCTACTAAATAATACTCTACTCTTTAATAATAAATAACTACAGAACAGTAATACTCAGGAGTGATATATAATGACAATAAATAAAATAATAATGCCGCTGCGTTTTATTGCTCCGCTTCATACATTTGACAATTTTGACATAATTATTGAATGTAATTGTCAAAAACAAATACTTCTTCTTCTTCTTTTTATTAATGGCTTGCTTTGTGAGTTATCACAATTACGCCAATGTCAAGTTGTTCTTAAAATTCTCAATTTTATAATATTCACATTAAAATTGTAATAGGCAAATAAAAACTTCAAAAATCCATCATGGTGGATCCAAAAACAAATACTGTATTAATAATTGTACTGTCATACTGTATGTTAAACCAGAGTTGCCAGACGCCGAAGACTTGTCTTCTTACAGACCACGGATTATAGAACACAAGCGAAAGTGCCTTGTGGGCGTAACCCGACGACCACAGTTAAGCGAAAATGTTACTAACTGAAGGCAATACGAGTTCTGACGCGATTGGAGACGCACTGTCACAAATATCTTACTGGTCATAAATCCCATTATAATGCTGTACCGTGAAATTTATAAATGCAAAAATAATAGCCGAAAAAATGAAAGAGGTTCACATCACAAGCAAGTAGTATTTTGGTATATTTTACAATATAAAACTTAATTTCAACGAAAATCGAAAATTTTATTTAACCCCAGTCAGTAAAGTACAGTAAAAGACAACATAATGTTAAACACTCTAAAATGTATTTTGCCCCCTAGATGACTCCGAAAAAACCGAATTCCTTGCAGACAACCTAGAGCAGCAATTGACGCCATCGCGCGAACACATCGTTACAATCCACCTAACGGAGGTGGACCGCGTAATCGAAACTAGGGATGCGCTTCCACCGGAAGGCGATCCTTTAAATTCAGTGACCACCGAAGAGGTCCAAGATATTATTAAAAATTCAAAACCGAAATCTGCCCCGGGCCCAGACAATATTAGTAATAAAATTCTTAAAGCTCTCCCTGGGCCGTTTATCTATTTACCTACAACACTTTACTCTCCAGTTGCTCCTTTCCGGACGACTGGAAAGAAGCCACGGTTATCGGCATTCGCAAGCCGAATAAACTAGCCAATAAGCCTTCAAGTTATCGTCCTATAAGCCTTCTCAGTTGCCTGGGGAAGGTCTACGAGCGGCTATTACTAAACAGGCTCAAAGAGCACGTATTTTCCAACGGCCTTCTGGCGGCGGAGCAATTCGGCTTTCGAGCTAGACATTCCTGTCACGACCAATTATACCGCCTAACGGAACACATCCTGAAAGGCTTAAATCATCCAAAACATATTAGCACGGGGGCTCTTTTCTTTGATGTGGCAAAGGCATTCGACAAGGTCTGGCACAACGGCTTGCTTTACAAGTATTACAAACTCAAAGTGACAGATAGGCTCGTACATACCATCCGCACCTTCCTGTCGAACAGATCTTTTCGATATCGAATTGAGGGCACCCTCTCCACAAGCCGCCGCCTCACGGCATGCGTTCCACAAGGCTCTTGCCTCTCGCCCTTACTCTTTACGAGCGACATACCCAAAGACCCGCACGTCAATCTCGCGCTTTTCGCGAATGACACGGCGCTCTTTTACACATATAAAAATCTCAATCAACTCACTACTCGTCTCCAGAGCGCCGCCGACCGCCGCGGCGATTGGTTCCGCAAATGGATAATAGAAGTAGATCCCGAAAAGAGTATGGCGATTCACTTCACACGAAGTACTTTCCCGTCACATCTTTATAAGCGCCCTCGACAATGCAGAAAGTTGGGGCAAATATCCCTTTATCCCTAACCCAACCGCTCCCCTGGGAGAAAAAGGTCAAATACTTAGGAGTCACTTTCGACTCGCGTATGTCATTTACTACGCACATTAATAACGTTCGCAATAGAGCCGCGTTCGTCTCAGGCCGGCTACACAATTTAACTAACGCTAAAAGTAAAATGCCCTTAAGGCACAAATTATTATTATATAAGACCTGCGTACATCCTATTATGTCCTACGCATGCATGACCTTCGCCCACACGCACCCTTCTCGCTTGTACAAGTTGCAAATAGTACAAAATAAATTCATCCGCCGCGCAACCGGTGCGCAGTGGTATCGACGCAGAGTCGACCTGCACAGCGATTGCAGACTTCCGACGATTCGCGAATATTTTAAAGATCTGTCCAAACGGTTCTTCGATAGAGCCGAACATCATCCCAATCCTCTGGTGGTAAGCGCAGCAAATTACCAAACCGACACAAACGCGAACATCAACAAGCGTCACCCGCGAAACGTCCTCATCGACCCGGACGAGGAAGGGGACTTGGATACGTTGGACCCACCGCCGGGGCCGTGGGTCCCGCCGGATAACACTACACCCACAGCTAGTGTAACAACAAACAGAATAGTTCGCCCTCGCCTCCGAGCACGGCGAGGCCAACACAACGCGTACACAAGGTACACCCGCGTTCCAGGGCGGTTCTCACCGCCCCCAGCCACCGATTAGCTAAAAACACAGTCGACGGCCATCGGGGTCCCGGTCCGAACCGCAACCTCGATGGCTCTTAGATGACATACCATAGTTAAACGCACGCATGAGCACATGCGCGGCCCTACCAACAGCGGAGGGCCCAAATCCGTGGGTTAGCCTACCGATTCTGCGTCAGATGAAGCTTTAATAGTCTCGGGACTGAAAGCAAAAACATCAATTAATACAAGATACAAGATGTATTTTGTCTTGTCAAGAAACGTGGTACTCAAGTAAACTGATTGCTAGAATGTTCTCTGCTGTTCAGCTAGTGAATGACCATTAGCTTTACGAATAGTATCGATATCAATAAGACTTTGATGATAGATTTAAGTAAACATGTATTAACTTATACATTTATATCATAACCATGGTTATAATAATTTCACTGTTAACAATCACGTTCAAAACATAATAAAAAAATGTAGAGATTTGAATACTAGTGCATTTAAAATGATTGCAGTTATGTATCAAAATGAGGTCTGTCCACAAGGTTCGCGAAACCTTGTGGAACCTCTTTTTCATAACATGTTCACCTCACAGACACTGAGTATTTCATCAATATTTTGCGCCAGTTCAAAGATTGAAAATTGACTTCAAACTGACGCAAAGACTGGCCCTTCTTCAAGGGGCCCATTCACTATCCTGTCTAAAAGTTTTTTAAATTCCGTAAATCAAAGTGATCACATTTCATATATTATCCACTATTTTACCATAGAAGGTACCGGAAATTTAAACACCGTGCGCTCTGGACAGTATATTATCTAGCGGGATTTTCAATCCCCTCGAAGGTTATACCATATAACAAAGCATCCGCAAAGGGGCGACAAACTGTGTAGTTTTAAAGAGGGGAAATACTGTGAACCTGTGTAAAAATATTAGTATTATTATTTCAACAATATATAGTTTTAGACAACGTCATGTTTATAATTGTTAGAAAAACTGTAAATTTAATGTTTCATATCATAAGCAAATTGAATTTAATCCTTAGAGCGCGGCTTTAATAACTTTATCTACGTGCCTGTACGTGCTTTAAACTGCACTTTTCAATCCTTATAGAAAAGGAAGCGATTACGAAAATTTTAAGAGTTACTTCAATAAGCGTCTGCTTTAAAAGTTTATCGCAGTTATCAATGATACTATAGCGATTTCTTAGTAGATTTTACTTTTTACTTAAAACCTTTGGGAAAAACCTTTCGACTATGAAATCATACAATCCATTGTAGGTACTTTCAAAATCAATAACTTCAATTAGAATGTAATTAATGGCAAAATATTTAATCACCAAGGGTTTAATAAGTTACAGAAACTAAAAAGAAAAATATATGTAGGGGTAAAATAAAAACACCAAAGTTGTACCTTAAAAAATTATCTTCCATTTTAGAATATCCTAAATTAAGTACAATTATAGTATAATTTTAAATTAATCATAACAACGTATTTATTATGAATTCCCATTTATAAGTACATAATACATAAATAGTTGTGCTTAATTACTGTGAATGAAATGCACTATAATGGACAGGTCAGTGCACTATGACACTGGAATTTATTACACACCTGATTTGATGATATGTGTTATAATATATTAATATATTCTTTAATATATAAACTATACAATAAGTAGTCTATATAAGGCAAGATGGCCACGGCTATGGCTAACACGATTTAATGTTTCATTTGGTATGCATTAAACATTTTAACCTACTTAGAATTATAAAGTTTACTGTGTATATTTCAATATAATATTGGACCGAATCACAATTCAAAACTTCGATGGCGTGATGACGCGACAAGAGGTTCGATTCGGTCGATAAATATTTAACAAATTTTATTACTCTTCCACATAATAAATAGTTATCAACATGAAGATTTACAAATATCAACAAAATAAATTACGAATAACAGCAAAATTACATTAATATTAGCCTTATTACCTACGGCTCAGTGATCCCTACTCGGTCGGTGTTCTTAACTTGTACTACGTAGCCGGCCCTGTCCGTCATTTTGCCAAGAAATGCCATCATGGCACCCAAAAGCCCGCTCGAAATAATTTGTAAAAATCTGGTATTTAATTAACATATATGCTGCAATATTCCTATCCAATTATTTTAAAATTCCTAACTAATCAGATCTCCGAAATACAGAGAATCTAATGAACATGATTGTTACGGCAACATCTCGTTTTTTTTTCCTCTAGACTGCAAGATTTTTAATGTTGAAGGAACTCACGAAAGGTTTAACTTTGCAAAACTAACAGTAAATAAATAAATCCTCAACTCATTCTGTGATAGAAAAGAATACATTGCAATAAGAATGTTTGAGTTTAAAGAGACAGAACAGCCGGCGGAAGTCTAAATTCATTATCATTAAAATTACATGGACTAGTAATTGAATTATACTACCTAGTAAGTACCCTATACCGCTTTGGAGAACAAACTAAGGTAAAAAGGGCGTTCATTACAAAATACATTAGCGATAAAAGTAAGTACATTTATTTATAATAATAATATTATTAATAAGCCCTTTATTGCTCTCCACCTTACCTTAAGCTAAACCAAGTCCTTCCTTAGGACCTATTGAGCAATATGGACATGTTAATACCGACTTAGAGAACCTACAGTTAAACAGCGCATTACACATAGCAACAAGTTCATCCATTTCCTTGACGTAATCGCAACTATACGCGATTTGACCAAATTGCTTAGATTGAAACTGTGCAAAAAAACTCGGGAAACGTATAATTAATATCGTTCCTTAATTTATTTGTATTTTGTTTGATTGAGTAATGTACTATCTAGTGTATGACCCTAATTTATACATTTATTACTTTTTATTTGGCTTGTTATTTTAATATGTCCAAAAATAAGACTGTTGGCTGCTGAAATATGTAAAATAGTGATCGCTTTACTATAAGTAAATAGATCAATAATATTCAAATTTAAAACTTAAAAAACAAATCAAGTAATTAAAATAAACAGTTGAATTGTTAAAAAAATTCTTTGTCATGATAAGTAAGAAAAAGGTAGTAAAGTTGTATTTTTGTTAATGCAATGTTTATAATTATTCCAACTTCAAATATTGGTACTGTATATTATATTTGCTATGAAAATAATAAGAATTTCTAATTTATCATGATCAATATTATTCTTAGTAATGAAATATTGCGAACGTTTATTGTCATTTAACAGCTGTTCTACTTTTTCTTTGAAAATTTAGTATAATACGTTACCTAAATAATGGAGGACGTATTTACAGAAATATATTATTTAATATGTTAGTAAAACTACGTGTTATCTAGGAAGGTGAGATATTGAGGCAAGAGCTTTGTTTAACATAGCTAAATATATATTTACTAAAATAACTTCGATTATTGGACGTACCCACTATATAAGTACGTTTGTGTACACCTCCAACCCAACACCATTTCCGAACCTTAAAGATTTAAGTACCCAGACATTGTCTTCATTATTTTGGTATAAGCTCATAGCTTTGGTCATTTCTTATTATTTGGTTATAACATTTCACGTAAGTCTAAACGCATCCTTGTTGATTGGTTCATTTGGTTTTTGCTGCAGTAGCATTTCCCTCCACATAACTTCTCCATGTTAGAATTGCTTTACGATTAATTTTACCTACAGTTGTCTTGTCATCACTCTTAGCACAAAGCGTTGAAACGCCGCAACAGATCGCAGCTACATCGAGGTACAAGATAGGATTCGAATTATCTAGATGTATGAATGTTCTAGCGTTGAATTGTAATGTAGCCACGGTGCCTGTTGGATATAATTTCATTGCATTCGCGCTTCTTGGAGCTGGGGTGGGTAAGGGAGAGGGGGGAGCAGGGGCGCCTGCACCCCCCCACCTGGTAGAGCGTAGTAAGGTGAAACGTATCCAGCGCCACTGGCAGCTGCCGCGGCGGCGGCTGGAAAAAATAAAAAATGAAATTAGACAACAATGACAAAAATCGGCCAAGTACAAAACACAAAAAATCATGTCTGTATACAACAGAGGAGCCCCATTTCGATGTTTTTTATTCTATTTTTTAGTATTTGTTTTAATAGCGGCAACAAAAATACATCATCTATGAAAATTTCAACAGTCTAACTATCACGGTTCATGAGATACAGCCTGGTGACAGACGGAAAGACGGACAGACTGACACAGACAGCAGAGTCTTAGTAATAGGGTCCTGTTTTACCCTTTGGGTACGACATCCTAAAAACAACCGATACATTTCCAAACGATCAATTACACCGGACCATAGTATTACCTAAAACGTTATTAATTTTTTTAAATATCATGTCGTTCCTAATTGAATGTTGTATATTTAAACCACAAAAAACGTAGAACGAACTAATTAAAACTTCATATTCCATAGAGTGCATAAAATGCGGACTCTCTTTTACGGTAATGACGTACACATAAAACAACGACTTGTGTCTCTAATTTCGTGAGAACATTCAGAACATAGAAGAGCAATAAGGTTTGAATGTTAGGGCAAAACTATCGGGCTCACAGACCGTTAGATTACCTAACGCTTGAGACCGCGTCAAATTGTTTTAACTGACGCTTCCAATATCTGCTGATGATGATTTCAAATATATAAATATAATCATTTTCAGTTATATGTTATAAAATAGTTAACTAGGTATCGCAGTCAACCACTTATATCAAAATCTGAGCACATGTAACAAATATTTGTTACAAAAGCATTTGATCAATTGCCGGAATTAGAACTCAGATTATTTAAAAGCTATTCCATTTCAATTCAAAATAATTATCTTTATTCAAATGGACGCTTGCGCGTTCTAAGTTCGTAAGTAAGTTACCAATATTAAACGAGCTCACGCTTTACAGCATAATTTGGGTAACAAAACAATATGAAAGTATACAAATGATAAACGTCCAGTGAGGATCAGCATAGTTGTATGAGCGTATCAATTTACCGCTGCATCACCACATACCATGAAGTTCGATATCGTCTATACCAGCCAGTGCCGTTCAAAAGAGAAAGTTGCAATAGTTACCTGCGGCGGTCGCGTACGGGTCGAAGCCGGCGGCTGCGTACTGCTGCTGGTAGGCAGCAGCGCCCTGGGCGGCGGCCGCTTGGTACTCATAGAGGTGGTTGGCGGCGGCCATGGCAGCGGCGTGTTGCAGGGGTGGCAATTGGACTAGCCCTCCGGCACCGCCACCCACTCCCGCGCCGACACCCCCTACCGCGTAACCCGGCGCTCCGTACACGTAGCCCGGAGACAACCTGCCGATCAGACCTGACCTTAAGCACATACACCCGCGCTCTACACCTCCAAGCCTCCATCGCCCTCGACGGCCTTCCGCCCACAAAAGGCTAGTGGAAAACCAAACTACACGGCGCGGAAGGCCGCCGTTGCAACGTTAAACAGATGTCAATCTGTCTCGCCACACCCGTAATAGCCTGGTCAGGCGCGGGCAGTCCATCTTGTTATGTTAGTAGACATCGACGTTACTTTATGTGAGTATGCGATAGATCTCGGCCTGCATTTTGTCGCCGCGTCCGGGCCGCCGTCGTGCGTCATCGCCGGCGAAGTTTAAAAAGGGAGCCTCGTGAAAAATGTCCGCACATTCGCCCCGCTGCGACCGAAATATCCAAATTGCGTACAAATATACTTATCACGCGCCCGTTATTAGGAATAGTTGGGTAAGTTTTGTTTGCGTTTTACGATATAATCTGGAGAACTCATCTATTATTTAGTATTCCAAAATACGTACATTTAAAAACGTATTATCCACAAAGTATTCAGAACGGAACAAAGTAGGCGCGAATTAGTCAACGCGAATGCCATAGTCCAGAATCAACTTGACCTATATTTATTTTTACTTGATATACAATTTCAATGGAATTACAAGTCACACTTCGGAACGAAACCAACGTACGGTATTTCAGCTAAATAGACCAAGCTCTCCTTCGCGCGTTACCAAAATGGGACTAAGCAAGCGTTTGGGAATTTCAAAATTTGTCGAGTTCGCTTAATTCCCGTCATAGGCAGACGCGGGGCGGTCAAGTTGTTGAAGAGGTGCCCTCGAAAGCGCGCCACATCAGCTTCTTCCGAGAGCACTCGGCCTCCAACCAGGCTGCGGTCCTAAACTGTCTCAGCCGCGTTCGTCTTTTTTCTACTGCATAACGGCGGAGAGGGACGGATGAACTCTTAATCGAGATTCGCTTTCAATGGATCAACTTGGTACAGGGCCTGGGTTTTGAGGCGCATGCGCGGAGCACGCCTGCCTCAAGGCCCCGCCTGCTCACTACGCCCACCTGTGGTCCGCTAACTCTATCACCATGTGCAGTACCTACTATTTATCGTTATTCTTCATAAGACATAAATAACTAAAAGCCGGCGACGCTTCGCTGAAGGCAACCTCGTCTCAACAGAAATGTGTCTCATAGTTATTACGGGAAGATCTGAAGAAATGTCATACAAAACACGCGTAAAGAGCATTATAAAAACTGGCGTAACATCACACAAGCTGCCACATCTACATAGGTACAGACAATCATCAACTAAAATAGATTTAATATCACATCTATTCATTATTCATTACTGTTAGATGTCTAAAGGTCCAGTTTTTAGTTGTAGTCAATACTTACAATATCGGTTACTTACATGCACACCTATAGGTCGAGTAATGCTCGGAGGGACGTCGAGAGACGCGTACAAGAAAAAAAAAACGCTATGCCAACAGCCATTAAAACTACATATACATTGGAATTAAAATTGTAGAACGTACAATCAAGTGAGGCATTCACCCGATTATTTTTTCCATTAGACAAATGTTCCGATAATTGCTGTGGTGGTTCGGCAGGCGCGACATTCGGCTATTCATTTATCTACGGCTCGAGTAAGGTGGAAGTCAAAGAAAAATACCACCTAGTATTGACACGGGGAATGTATTACACAACACTAAATCAGAGCACGGCGGCTACATTGTATCGAGGGTAAAATGAAGCTACACTTCAGTCTATTATTCGGGTCGCTTATTTAGTTCGCGTAACTTAATTGCCCGTGTAGCCTTAACGCTCAACTTTTACGACGGAAAGTTCAAAATTATAACAGATTACATAATACGGGGGAAGGCAAAAAGCAAAAATTTTCCCCGCCCGACAATGTTTTCTTACAATTAGAAACGTAACAGCCGAAGGAGGCTTCGAGAGTTTGCGGCGTCGGCTGTTTGGGCAATACGGTTACGCAATTGAAACTCAGTAAGTGTATTAAACGAAATCCACCACCAACAACAACAAAAAGGAAAAAAAAATCATTTCAAAATCAACAAAATCGTACACGAAAACGGCATAGGAAAACATAGATGAAATAATTAAAACGTCGGGTGTCGGGAACGTTGCGCACTGTGCGACGGCTGTGGGCGGCGACGGCGGACGACCACGCGTCAGCGCCGGCGCCGCCCATACCCCGTTATAGCTTATAAAACGTAAACATTAAAAACCCAATCGACTAATCACACCCAAAACGAAAAAAATCCACTCTCACGCTCACGCTTGCCATAGATACCTATGTGAAAATGTTTGTTTATATAGACTAGGTGATGCCCGCCGGCCGCCGCGTCGCTAGCAGTCCGGACTCTCCGCCCGCCTCATCTACCGAGACAAAAGTCAGCTCAGCATACTTCGCTTTACTTCGGACTCGGTCAACCTATTCGGCCCTACCTCACTTACCAGTATCGTTAGGTATCGCTCTTAGCCTTAGCCGACACGTTTAGTTCACTGCATACCTAATTTCAAGAATGATAGCTTCGTGTGGTGTCGAAGTCTACGTTGTAATTAGGTGTACGACAAAAAGCGAGTGGAGTTTACATAAGTGGCGAATTGTGGCCCTGCTTGCATGTATGTCAGAAATAAGCTTAAGCGTTTATAAAGTCTGATTTTTGTCTCGTGAGATGTGTAAGGGCGCCGCTTGTGCTGACAAATTCGGAAGTGTACCATTTAACATTGAATCAAAGGCTCTGGGGCCCATCCGCGGCTGGTCACTCACCCGTATGGCGACTGCAGTACTGTTGGGTAGCCGGCTCGCACGCCCGCCGCCGCCGCCGCCGCCAGGCCGAAACCTACGACAAACAACCACATCACATTATCGCCCGGCCCTTAATGAGGTGACAACGGAAAAAGGAGCGCCAGAGAAAAAGACCTCGACACGCGCGCATCTAGAGCGTCTATTTTCGCCCTCACTTAACGGAAGTGGCCAGAGATGTATGTAAAAAGAAATAACGTGGCGCGATTGGACCACGTCCAAATGACACAAGAATCAACTTGAAGCGGGCGACGTCAGAATGTTAATTTCTTTTTATTGCATTGTTAAGCCGCGCGAGGCGGCGACTATTTCGGTCGCTCGCCGCCCGCCCGGGCACCGGCATCCAGGGACATGCCTCTTGACAAGAAGACGACAAACGCACGCTATAAATGGCTTTCAGACGCGGACGCTAGCCGCTGCACGGCGAAAACGTAGACCAGTCGGAGTGCACGTGTTATTTAACACCAAATCAGCGTCGTTTAGACAAGACATAGCTAATTAAAAGTGTCTCACCGTCTGTAGATAATTAATTTAACAGACTATAGCCAATTCTCATAATAGTGTAGACATCGATTTATATTTAAATCTATTATTTCGCAATTGTCGTGCAAACTATCATGTGTCTTATTTTCCAGTTTCCAGTCAGGGATACTCCCGTTCAGTTACGTCAACGTTTTGATCGTTAGAAAAAATGATTAGCGTGCGTTGATCAAAAGAGCGTGACCTCTTTCAAATTTGGAACCGCCTCGGCTATTATTCGATGTGAAATTTCACCGGTGATTACAACAGATCACATCCGCAACGAGCCCGGATGGAGTCGCGGTTCGCGTGTTGTGATAATACGCATGGAAGGCCATATCTAATATGGCGGTGCAACCGCCAGCCAATGCTGCCATCGCGGGTGCCAATTAGGCAGCCTTTGGCAAGGCAGAGAAGACGTAATTGAAATTGACCAATAAAATGCCGTTTTATCACTCGCGCTCAACGTTAGTTTGACGTTTCTTGGAATCGTTTTATTAGCAGCGTTCATTTTGTAGGTTAGCATTGCGCAGTCGGCGATACTACGCAAATAAACATATAAGTAGGATTATTGATAACGAAAATAAATGGATTTATTTCAATATATTTTCAAATTATTTAATCCAGTGAAAACTTAATCCCTTCATAATTTGTTTCAAGATCCCAAAAATTTTTTTTTTCATTTTTCTTAAGTAATTAGATGGCAACCAAGCTAGGGTTGAGTGCACCTTACATAGCCGCCGCCCATGGACATTTGCAACACCCGTAGGCTTGCGTGGCAACAAATTGGGTCCCGGCTACCTCACTCACCAGACGCATAAGTACACTTCCATTTCACGCCGGTCTTCTGTGTCATCTGTGTGGTACTTACCCGGACGGACTTGCCCATTTGTGCAACAGCGATTGTTGCTCTACCACAGAAAAAACTTTTTATATCCAAATAACTAATTAAAAATAACCAACGGAATATTAAATTTGTAGATCTTCGTAAAACTTGTATCGTAACAAATTGGTTCGTTTGTTCCAATGTTCCGACGCTATATTTAACACACACACACAATATAAACAACACAATAATAAATTGTACGGAAATCACAACCTATTCCGATGATTGACTATATTCGTATTAAAAATGATTTCGTTTTAAAAATAAATACCTTCTATGTTGTTAATCATAATGATCTATATTATATATAGGACTAGCGACCCGCCCCGGCTTCGCACGGGTGCAATGTATTATACATATAAACCTTCCTCTTGAATCACTCTATCTAGTAAATAAAACCGCATCAAGATCCGTTGCGTAGTTTTAAAGATCTAGGCGTACATAGGGACAGACAGACAGCGGAACGACTTTGTTTTATACTATGTAGTGATATAGGATTAACAATAAATATTTGTATTTGTAAATTGTTTGCAAGTGAAAGGCGTGTGTTGTTCTCGACGAGAGTGAAAAATAGTGCTAGTAGTAAAAGGGTTGGTCGCGTGCAACGAATGCGCGTGATGTGCCCCCACCGTCCGATCGATGGTATGCCCATTTGAGGGCCGAGGTCGGGCTACTGTCCACCATAAAGCTTATCGGATTCATTAAATTTTTCCTCTTTACACCCATTGTGGCTCGGCCTAAATGCGACGCTCTTTTGTCAGTGTGACCCAGTTACTACGGTCGAAATCGATTGCCCACGTAGTTCCGATTGATTCGTTCACAAGTAACCATTTCAAACTATCGATAATTAAAATTTTACAAACTTCAAAAAAAGATAAGTTCGCTTTCATATGTGAAATAAATTCCAGGGAACCCATAAAGTCTCGTTCGAGTAATTAAAGCGTTTTTAATGGTGTTTTTTTGCGTTGCTACTGGATAAGTTCTGGACTCCGGGTCGTCGAACTGCTAAGCCGACTCGGGGTGCTTAACATCGCTTGTAAGGATTCTACGGAAATACGATTTTAGACGCAGGCGGAATGAGCGAGACAGGATCAAAAACATGTACAATAAATATTTTCTTTAAGGAATTTACAATAATACACGATTTAGTTGAGCACACCAACAATTTTGGTAAATATATTATTCAATATAATAATTATTCTATACTCTCGAGGGTAGCAAATGTTTCATATCGGATTTCACAAAACTCTTGTTCTCCGATAGAAACCATTAAATGTGCATAATCATAAAGAAATGTTTCCGCGTCTTTTAAAGAGTTCACTGCATACACAACTGACGGAAATTTCAAGAAGATCGTGTAATCGTTAATCTGTTAACGATAGGTGTAATAGCGCGGCTGTAGCAGAAATACGCCGAAAATTGATCATTAACGGCGAGCAAAACACACTCGCTTTGTTTTCAACATTGTAACAACGTGTCCTGCGTTTTACTGGTGCAAGAATAGACTTCGCGCCAATTCAATGCGACCACGGCAAAAGTGAATCTTCGTAACTTAGTTCTTCGCCGACATTCCAGAATCTCGCCGAGAGACGGTCTGAGAAAGTTGCTAGCATGTGTTTTTGGATAATTAATTAATTAAAACACATCCACCACGACTGAGATACATGTAGAAGAAAACGCATGTATGAGAGCATATAAATAGGGCAGAATATAATATGCACGACATACTTTCCTCAGTGAAAATTAAAAGCACCGTGCGATCGGATCCCGTTTTAAGTGGCACATCTTATAGATGGCGCGCAAGATAAATAGACGCATGCGCCTCATAGGCCGTGAGAGATAGAATGGCGAGGAAACACGAGGGTTTGGCGTGGAGCCAGCGTCGGTGTCGCGGCGGAGGCGGCCGCGGCGACGTTCCCAAAACTGCGTATATTTAGACAAAATAAAGAGCGCGCCGAAGACAAAACGAGACGCGAGTCTGTTTTATAAATAACCAAGTCGTTCGCCGCCCGGCCGCGGCTCCGCTCGCCCAACCTCTGCCCGCCAGCTGTTGTACATAAATAATAATTAAGACACGAAGAAAGCAACGCGCCTCCAGCTCTAGTCGGGTACGGCACGGCTACCGAAGCCATAATCGCGGAAACGCGAATCTATCAGCGAAATAAAGTAATCGTTCACTAATTTAACATTATTCATATGAAAATCCCAAAGGAATCGGGTCATTACTACGCCTTCGCATAATCGTCATGGTGCGAGCGTATATTAGATTAAGCACTATCAATAAGGGTGTAAATAGAGCGCATTATAGAATTGCCAACCGAGTGACGTTAGCGCACGTCATAATTCTTTTTCAAAGGTTACGGTTCATAATTAAATTTCCGTCGCATCTAGGCTGTGATATTGAAAATCGTTATGGCTTCACGCGGAAGTCCACAAGCGAGATCGCGTTACACTCGACATGGAGGGGAGGCAACAACATAGAGGAGCACTATAATAGTGTCTACTTCCGGTGTAGTGTCGGAAAAGTGACAGTACCTTTTTGCTATGTTAAAAAAAATGTGTAAAGATATCCGGTGTAGTGATGTTACCGTAACGCTATAACTTTTATAAAATGTATCTACATATTATGGAGTGATTATAATGCGAAATTACTTTCATTAATATTTATACCCACGTTTTCTGATTAATACATATACATGGATGTAATATCCAAGTATGTTTATTTGAAATGATTTGAAGATAACATCTCATGGAAAACTCGACGTGTGCACTCGAACTTGTACCTACGGCACGGAAAACACTATAACTCATCTGGATTGCGTTCAACAACTTGGAGGTTATTAATGCAGCGTTGTCTGAAATTGATGTATACATCTGTTTAGCGGACGTCTCGGAGTTCTTTACTTTTGCGTGTGCTTTACATTTCATTATTCTCATCGGTAAGGTATTTTCGGCGGAAATCTTGATAATAAATGATTTCATTGTTTACGCCTGTCCGACGCTTTGAAATGATATGATGTTGCGTACCATATACCCGTTGGGCGAATTCGACAGTGTTTACTTCAAGCGGAAAACGCGCGTTAATTTTTTAAAACCAACACGTAAATTGAATGAAAGCCAAGCCAGCCAAGGAATAAAAAACACAGCGGCGTTTTTAAATATGTTATTAATTGACAGTGACATATTTCGTACCACAAACAAATTTATAATCTGTGAGATCAATTGATGGTCGTCAATAATGGTTGTTTAAACTGTTGATGACCAACTTCATTTGTCATAAACACAATTCATAAGGTAATTAAAGTAATTACACGTTTTCCGTCACCGGCGGCAGAATAAAATAATGATTGTTCAATCTGATAGGGTCACGTGGTACGGTGGGTCGCGGCTAAGCTGCCCATTATGGCTTCTTTCCATCGTCCACACATTTATATGTATGCGCTGCGACATCGATCGGTACACTTTCGCTTACGTTCATACAAATTTCATTTACAAGCAAGACCGTCACCAACAAAGAGCTTACCACTTCGATTTACCTAAAAGCCCTAAATTCCATCAATTAGATTTTTTCAGAGTTTAATAGTGCGACATGAATATTTTCCACAATAATTGACATATTTTACGACATCATA